CGCCATTAGTTGGGGGGCCTCATGGAGCCCCCAGCGCTAGTGCGCTGTCACGGGCTTCTGCAGGGCAGCCTCGAAGCAGCTAACTACTTAATTTTAAAATGAAAAGGAGCCCCCAATCAGTTTTAAAAAAGAATTCTGGGAGCCCCTGGGGGCCCCAGGCAGCCCCCCAAAGACAGACTGGCAGCACAAATATAACAAGAGTCTAAAGACCTAAAACCCGGGGGGCCCCCCGCGTCGGATTAGTTAGCTTTGGGGGCCCCCAGAAGCCTCATATGGGGCCCCCGGGGCCCCCTTTGGGGCCCCAGGGGCCTCATGTGGGGCCCCGGGGGCCCCACATGAGTCGGCCAACTCTATGAAGGCACCCGCTGTGCAGACACCGCAGGGGGCTTCTGCTGCCACCTCAGCAGCAGCAGCAGCACCACCACCACCACCACCACCTCTAGGGCAAGCTTCTAAGCCCTCCGCCTGCAGTGCGTAGGGCCGGAGGTAGAAGGGGGCCCCCCCAGGGCCCGAGGGGGGCCCCCCAAGGGGAACTAGTGCGTGGCCCAAAGGGTACCAGCCCCGCGGCAAAGAGCGCACGGGGGGGCCCCCAGCTGACTGCTGGGGGGGGCCCCCCATCCACTGCATGCAGCGGGGAAGCTGCTGCAGCAAAACAGGAAAACTGAGGGCCCCCGGAAGCGGCGGAAGGGCCCCTTGGGGCCCCTCGGGTCGAACATCCAGCAGCCACACAGTCAGGCGGACTGCCAAAACTGGGGCCAGTGCAGCAGCAGTAGCTGCAGCAGCAGCAGCAGCACCTGCTGCTGCTGCTGCTGCTGCTGGGTCCCGGAAGCATGGGGTGGCCCCCTGCGCCTCAGACCCCAGGGCCTCCCTGAGACTGGCAGCAGCAGCACAGAGAAGGGCCGCGCCGGGCATGCTCGCTGCTGGGGCCCCGGGGGCCCCCTCAATTGCTGCTGCAGCAGCAGCAACAGCGCTGCAGATCTGAGCCAAGGGGGGCCCCCGCAGCAATGTAGACCAGCCCCAAGAAGGACTTCTGCTGCGAAACACTACAGGACTTGAGTCTTGTTCTGCATAAAGCAGAGACTCAAGGGGCCCCCCCGGGGGGCCCCCTGGGGCCCCTAGGTGCCCCTGCTTCTTCCCCTGGGAAGCCCCCTGAAAGGCTTCCTGGGGAGACCCCAGGCGGCCCCCCTGAACAAATGCCTGGGAACCCCCCTGAACAAATGCCTGGGGGCCCCCCCAGGGGGCCCCCTGGAAGGGCTCGTGCGGGGCCCCCGGGGGGGCCCCCAGGGGGGCCCCCTGGGGGGCCCCCTGGGTGCAGCAGGGCAAAGCTGCGAGGCAGGCAGCCACAGAAGGTGCAAAAGAAATTGCTGCTGTTACAAAAGTTGAAGGCAAAAGGCCCCCCCAGCGGCGGAGGCCTCGGGCCCCCTCCACAATTAGTTTTATTTTGAAGTGGTCTGAGCTGGGGGGCCCCCCTGCAGCAAGGAGGTGGCCTGGGCCCTCAGCAGCAGGGGCCCAACGGACCCTATCCGCTGCTGCTGCTGCTGCTGCTGCTGCTGCGGGATAGACAGTATTACACCCTGCATCTGGGGGGCCCCCAATTACGTCTAGAAGCTCTTTTAGTGCAGGAGACAATTGGCTGCTCGTCCCCTGCGGCGTCGCTGCTGCTGCTGCTGTTGCTGCTGCGGGTGCTGCTGCTGCGCGGCAGGGGGCCCCCTCGGGGGGCCCCAAAAGAAGACATGCATGCATGCATCGCGCAGCAGCCCACAGATCGAAAAGCTCTGCTGTGCCTGCTGCTGTCTTCCACAGGTGCCTGAAGGCCAGGCAGCCGTGCAGCAGCAGCCACTCCTCCGCCGTCAAACTGCTGTTGCTGCTGCTGCTGCTGCTGCTGCTGCTGAATACAGCTGTTGGAGGTTCCTCAGAGCTTGGGGCTGAGGCAGCTCCCGAGTCCATCACTCGAAGCAGCAGGGACTGAAATTCGCTCCACTGCAGCAGCCCAAACCCGAACTGCTCACGATTTTGCTGCTGCTGCTGCTGCTGCTGCGGGCCTCCTCCCTGCTGCTGCTGCTGCTGCTGCCACATTCCCAAAAGAAGGGCAGGAAGGAAGGGCCGCAGCTTCTCCGCCAATCTGTAAAGGGCCCCAAGAGTCAAAAGGGGCCTCGCCAGCACAAGGGCCCCGGGGGGCCCCCTGACAGCTTTCTTAACAACAGTCAGGGCCCCGGGGGGCCCCTTGTCCCTGAACAGAGAACATGCGAGGGAGACGCAGCAGCACATTTGCCAGCAGCAGCAGCAGCAGCAGCAGCAGCGCGAGCTGAAGCGGTCGCTGCAGCTGCACTATAGTTTCTAGCAGCTCCTGATGCAGCTGCAGCGCAGTTCGTAGCAGCAGGCGCTGCAGCTGCAGCCGAGCCTGCAGCGGCAGCAGCAGCAGCAGCAGCAGAAGCCCAGTCTCTCTCACCTTAGAGCCGCACAAAGGGCCTCCCAGGTCACCCATTCTCCTTCTTGGGCCCCCGGGGGGCCCCCAGCCGTGTTGGGGGGCCCCCCAGCCGTGTTGGGGGGCCCCCCAGTCTCGTTGGGGGGCCCCCAGCGGCACAAGAAAACTCCTTGGGGCAGCTCAGCCACAGCAGCAGCCCAGGAGGGGGGCCCCCCCGGGGGCCCCCTTTCAGGGATTAGCTCTACAGCAAGCAGCAGCCTCCCGAGGACTTGGCCCCCCGGGGGCCCCCAGGGGGCCCGCTGGGGGGCCCCCTGGGGGCCCTCAGCCGAAGAGGCCTCGCAGGGGGCCCCCCCAGGGGCCCTCGACGCTGGCAGCAGGTCCTCGGGGGGCCCCTCGTGAAGCAGCAAACTAAGGGCAGCTTCTGCCAGGGGGCCCCCGGGGGCCCCCGGCACACCCAAAGCAGCACTGCCAATAATTGTTTCTTCAAGAAGTCCCTGATCTTTGTGGGCCCTTAGCAGGCAAAACGTGAGGTGCTCAGAGGCCCTGCAGCAGCAGCAGCAGCAGCAGCAGCAGTAGCAGTAGCAGCAAAGACCAGCAGTGTCTTCAGCAGTAGCAGCTGTCGATGCAAGCAGCAGGTCATTGGAACTCACCCTTGTCGCTCTCCGGTGACTCCGGGCTCCTGCCGCTGCACCAGCAGTTGCTGCTGCTGCTGCTGCTGCTGCAGGGGAAAAGAGATGGATGC